GCTATCTGGTTATTCTTGCCTTTGAAGGATTCTAACTTGAGCTTCGGAGCCCTTACGCCGGGTTCTCCCCGGAGCTTCTCTTCTCCTCCCGTTTCAGGTCCCTGTTACTCAGTTTAGAGGCAAGATCATCGACAGCTAAGACTGGCCAGATCGTGCATCATCAATTGGCGCCGTCTGTGGGAAACGCTTCAAAAAGCCTCCCTCCAAAACTTTCATACCCTTCTCTTCTTCTCTGAAAAACTCATTTCTCATGGCCTCATCCAGCAACGCCGGACGCGGCACAGAGACAAACACCACCGGGGAACAGCTCCAAGTTCCCGTGGTGTGTGTTGGGCAGTTCACCATCCCCCTCACGGTGGATGGAATCCCCAATCTGACTACGCCACAASCAGTGGCACCTGTAAGCCTACCTTCCGCAAGCATCCCCTTCCCTCTTCCCATCGAGACTACCTTCACTGAACCAACTGCCGCCCCCCTGGCAGCTAGCCAAAATCGGTTGGACGACTTAATGCAATGCATGCGGGCAATGCAAGCCCAGATGCAGCAGTTCCAGCAACACCAGCTTCACCAGCACCAAGTGTTGCATAACCTCTCCCAATACCATTATCAGCAGCAGTTCCCCCAACTGACACCGAACCAACCRCTACTTCCACCTCGCCACCCTGCCCCGAAGCCAGTAAAGGCCTCTCCGCAGGATGGGCGCCTCTACCAAGGAAAGGCCTCCAGGCCTCAGAACCCCCCAAACAGCCAGGCCTCGTCCCCAGGCCGGAGAGAAAGAAAAGTCATCCCCGCCTCGCGGCTTGCAGGCGGATAAGGAACCTCGTCCGCGAGGTCAGCACCTCGGGTCTCCAAACCGGAGTCCCCACTGGTGGGAAACCGATTCGGCGCACTGGCAGCAGTGGACTACCAGCACTTCGAGCCCATCGAGCTCGGCAACACGGAGGCCAGCAGCGCCAGTACAAGGCCCACTCAGCAGCGAAGGTGCCGTCGAAGTCGACGAACTGCCACCCGCGTCCTATCCGAGCTCAGAGGCAGAGGCGAGACGAGCTCGGACGAGGTAGGAGTCACCCCAATTCTCTCAGTTCCTTCCCCCCTTGCCTCGGAACTCCTGACAGTCCCCTTGCCCAGAGATTTCAAGCTCCCGCCCCTAGACAAGTATGACGGCTCCTTCGATCCCAACGACCACGTGGACGTTTTCCAGTCCCAAATGCACCTCGCCAGAGCCAGCGAATCATGCATGTGCGTGGCCTTCACCACCACCCTCAAAGGGGTAGCCCGCACTTGGTATAGGAACCTGGCCCCCGGATCGATAAAGTGTTGGGCTCAGTTCATGCAGGTCTTCACTGCACACTTTGTCACCAGCAAACGGTGCCCCAGAGCAGAGGAAAGCATCTTCGGAA